ATTCGGCCCTGATCTGCAATATTTTTGCTTGGGTGACCCCAAAAAGCCCGCATTTCTACATTGTTGCAGTTAGGTATCACCTTTTGAACTTGGGAAACCCATGTCCCGCGACATTTAAGAGGACGGGAGTTCCCCGGTGTCAAAAGTTAAACGAACCCATTGCAAGGGGAAAAGTCTCCGCCCCCGGGCAGGGAAAGGCTATGTGTCTACTTTGAGGATTTGGGGGATCCTGGAGTTCCAGCTTTTTCAAAAAAAGTATTGCCCCATGACTGGAAAATTTTGTTGGACTATTTGGTTTTTAAAAAGGGGGAATGAAGTTCCACTACAAGAATTGAGGGGAAAGATGTTTTTCAATAAATGATAGGAGTAGTTTTCGATATTCGAAAGGAAAAGAAAGATCTGAGTTGGGTAGCATTGGACCGTGACGAGCGGTACCGCTCTTGAGAGGTGAAAAGGAAAAAATTTTTCTGCCAAATGACGCAGGAGCGCCCTTTTGGGAATTTCTATTGGTTTAGAAAGGTAGGGAGAAGAAGAAATTGGTCTTAAAGTAAAGAATTTAAATCCATTGTTTTGGTCCGAAAAAAGGGGGTGGAGAGGGAGTGCTTGACGTGTCGGTCGTTTCCCAGTAGAAAGGGAAGGTAACGGGGGAAACATCTCGGAGATTTTCGTTGGCGTTTAGGAGTAGGAAAGGAGTTGGTCCCGGGATGAAAAGGGTGGGGGATTCGAAAATTGCCGTCCCCTAGAGGGGGGGAGGCCGGAAGATAAATAAAAGGGGAGCGGGTTCAGACAAATCGAAGGAGTCAGTCGGAAACCCCCGGGACCTGAAGGGGTGAGGAAAGCACCCGCAAAAGGTAAAGGGGGTCAGGGGGTGTTTGAAGAGTGGTCTAAAAACCCAAAGGGAGGGGGAGAATTTGGGGGGCGGTATCAAAAAAGGGGCCGGGGGGGTATGGTTTCATGGACTAGGGCTGCCCTGGGTTTAGGGTTTTCCCTTTTCTTTTTTTTTTTAAGAAAAAAAAAGAAAGAAAAAAAAAAAAATAAAAAAAAAAAAAAGAATAAAAAAAGGGGGGAGCGGGGAGGAATAGTTTCCCCCGAGGAAAAGAAAAGGGGCCGGGAAACCCCTCCGCCCCAAGAGGAATCGCACCGTTGGGAGCGAGATGCAGCATGGAAACCCCGGCCCTACCCCACCTTCTTTCCAGTAAACCCGCAATCTGGGATTGCAACCTCACATCTGCCGGGTACCTGGGGGACAAAAAGAAAAGGGGGGGCCCGGGTTTCCGCCCCAAAGAATAACCCCCTTTAGGCCCCCCACCCCCGGGAAACCCAAAGGTGGCTTCCCGAGTTTCACCCGTCGCCCAAAAGACACCCAAAGCTACTCCGGGATACCGGAGAGGGATCGGGACATCCCTAGGCAATCCAGATTCCACGGCAAACTACGCCCCCGCCAAGAAACCTCAACGGATGGGATGGACCCCGGTGTCCTTTCCCCTACTAGGAACTAGCGCGCCTGTGGGAGAAATCACGAAGGCTAAAAAGAGGAAGGGCAAAAGGGAGGGGTGAGGAGGAGGAGGAGGAATGGAAAAAGGGGAGGATGGGGAGGATGGGATAGGGGAGGGGAGAATGGGGGGTAATTAGGTTCGGTCTGAGGAAGAAGACGAAGGGCTAATTTCCTCGCCCAAGAGCCTCTTCACCACGCCAAGGAGCCCCCCTTGAAGAGGATTTATATTCAGAGAGAGGTGCTAAACCCTTAGGGTAATACAGTGCTCAGGACTAGAAGGTAATCAGAGTTGATCCAAGGAAATGGAGTGTAGCTCTGATTTCTTGGATCAATACCTGGAGAGGGTTTCAGGGATCAATGCCCCCGGGGCCTGGTCCGTGACCAGGCCTTGCGGTAGATCAGGGTCTAATCAACCAGGCTGTTACTACTGGCTGCACACAAACCAACATACAAACCACAGCCCGGCTGATAAGGTACTGACTCTAGGTCTCTGTCCAGTGCCTTCTTGAAGACAGCCAGGGGTCTATTTGCAATTCCCCATTTATGTATGCTGGGAGGCAGTTGAACAGTCTTGGGCCCCTGACACTTATTGTAATGTCTCCTAGCGTACTTTTGGTGCCCCTACTTTTCACTGGAGAAGGTTGCGTCTCCTGCCCAGTGTTTGCTTTTGTGGGGAGTGATTTTCGTGTGCAAATTTGGGACTAATCCCTTTAGGATTTTTGAAGTGTATATTATCATATCTTTTTCTCACCTGCATTCCAGGGAATACAAATAAAGACTTCAACCATTCCCAATAATTTAGGTGTTTTATTGTGCTTATATGTGGTGTGAAAGTTCTCTGTACATTCTCCAGGTCAGCAATATCGCCTGCCTTGAAGGGAGCCATTAGTGTACAGCAATATTCCAGCCTTGAGAGAAGTGATTTGAAGAGAATCATCATGGGCTTGGCACCCCTAGTTTTGAAGGTTTTCAATATCTATTCTATCGTATTCCTAGCAGACGTGTTAGATACATTGTTGTGATCCTTGAAAGTGAGATTCTCCCAGGTCCTTCACATTAGTTTTTCACTCTATTGTGTGACTGGAATTTGTTTATACTCCAATTACAGTTTAATGGTCTTATTTAACATAAATTTATTTCACCCTGAAGAGAAAACATTTCGAAATTGCCCAAGTTACTTAACTCAAAGAGGAATCCTTGACGAGACTTGGTAAGTTTCTCAGCTCAAGTTGACACACTTCATTACTGTTATAATGAATTCAAGATTCATTTCTGGCATGAGTGGAGATGTTTGGGATGTTTCCTTACCAGGTGCTTTTTTCGCCTAACAGTATAGAGGTATTGTACCTGAGTGTTAGCCAACTGTTTTGAGTGGCAACTTAAGCAAGAGAATCAAAGGATCTGATAAAAATAAACCAGACTGATTGTCCTTTTTTAGTTATCCTGGGTTGCTAACCCTTTTAGGTTAATAATCTGAATAAAATCTTCATCCTTTGTAATGGGATATGACAGTCAATTTGTTTTGCATGATAGGCATGCTCTACCTCAAGTGAACAAAATGATATTGTTACACACAATGATTGAGGGATATACTGTACTCAGTTGATGCACAGTGTAGTAATAATGATTTAGTCCCAAAATTTTGTTACTTGTATACCAATTTTCCTCCTGCTATTCTATTACACAAGTACATACAGCACTTTTCACCATTTTCTAACATTTGGGAGGTGTTAGATTCGCAGGTATAATTGCCCAGCCCCGGGCCTTTTCCCAAAAGGTGGCCCAGCCTTGGTTCCCTTTTTTGGGAGTGTCTTAGACCAATGTCTGCCATGGGAGGAGGTACAAGTACCTCCACGTCTTCTGGGATGAGTTGTCCCCAGGCCTAGCCCCATTCCCCACTGCCACAGGGCTCGAAGGGAGAAACTAGGCACCTTGGGCTGCCACAAACTTGCCCACAGGGCTACAAGGGGTGTGGCAGCTACATTGCAGCAGACAATGTCAGGAGGTGCAAAAAGGGAGCAAGCATACAGGATCCTCTTAGAGCCACACCCAGCTTTGGGCCGAAGCCCAAGCGCCGGGGAAAGCTAAAAGAATGCCTTTGCTGTGGGTTTTGCTGCTACTCTTCACTTTTTCCTTTGCACTCTCCTCTATTCATTTTCTAACGATTAAAAATAGTCCCCTTTTCTCTCCAAAAGACAAGGTATAAATTTTCTAACATCCCACTGTTGTTTAAAAATATCGACCACTGTATGACATAGACGTTCTCTATCACATTTTCAGAGTCAAAATCATATGTATTCAACAGCTTTAGTTTTTTTGAGCTATCCCCTTTGGGAACAAACAAGATTATTTTAATTTTTAATGTAAAAAAAAAGGACGAAAATAAATCACAATATTGTAAGTAATGATTTTATTTTAAAATTTTATTATACATGAAAGTAGAGGACTGAGTATTAAAAAAGATGTACTGGAAACTTTTTAGGACAAAAAGCAGGATTTTTCAATAAAAGATTGCACCTTTTGAAAATTAAGAGCATGTGCAAAATTGGGGTTTTTATTTTAGACATTTGCCATCCAGTGGCTTTAACAAAACAAATTCAAGGAAAAAGGAAAACGTAGAATAATACAAAAATGAGGTAATCTGCCCTTTCCAACTACGGTGTCTTCACACCCAAATCCAAAGGTGGGGATGATTACTCATCTTTTGATATAGTTTTAATGTTTCCCTTGAGTCTTTAAAATTTTTTTTTGTAAACCCTGAATGAAAAAAACTACAATAAAGTACCCCGATGTTGACATGTTAAATTTTCTTTTTTTCGGTATTGTTTATATTAGTACAACCTGTCAGACATGCAACTAAAGAATCTTCGTTCAGGGACATTACTAACCCTTTTTCACAGCTATCAAACGACTACTACCACTAACCCATCTTGGTAATGACCTACTTCCACTGGGAGAATCCCATCTACCAGTGACTATGCCCTTGTCTGCTACCCGTTTCTATCCACCTGACACCAGTATATAAGCACCAGCCTTCTTGCCTGTGCTCCAGAATCTTCACTACTACGGTGCTCTTCACACCAACTCCAAGGCTGAGGGACTGATTACCTTATCTTCTGTATATAGTTCTACTGTCTTCCATTCATGTCTTTGAATTTATATTGATAAAGCCACTGGATGGTGAAGCATCCACAATAAAAATACCCAGATGTTGCACGTGTCTTAATTTTCACCTTGTCGGTACTGTATACCATTCAAGTACAACTTGTCACATACCGCACCTTGTCATTATTAAAACTATCAAAAATGATGTGTGAGCAAATCTGGACTTACATACACAATTACCTCCTGTATGTTAATGGACACAATCACAAGCTGTGTGGGGACATAGTGAGATAAAATATGTATCCCAGGATAAATTTGTATCCAAGAATAAGTCAAGAAAAGTGAAAATATTGAAAATTGTACAAAAGGGATACAGCACAAGAATATTTTTTCTTTGCAGAATGGATGAATAGTGAAACAGGATCCAGGAGGCAACATTAAAAAATATTGTGATAAACTAAACACTGATGATAGTACATCAGGAACATAGCTCCCTTCTGTATATGTATATGAATAAGTAAGATTACACATAAACACCTAGTAATTCAAGTTACAAGTAATACAGTTTCATATACAAGTACTATCAAATCATATTATCACACGGTTCCTCCAGCAGTTGCTACATGAGAATTTTTCCCACGATAAAGCGACGATACCACATATATGACGTAGCCAAGCTTAAGGTATACCTGCAAAAAGAGAATTAATGTATTTATTAAAGTAACTGCAACTTATGCTACTACATTATTGTACACAATAGATAAGAAATTAGCTTTAATGCATGTGTAGAACATATTTACTGCTTAACATATGGGGAATCAAATACAAAATGGGAGTTGACACAGTTACTTTTTGCTGATGATACTGTGCTTTTAGGAGATTCTAAAGAGAAGTTGCAAAGGTTAGTGGACGAGTTTGAGAGGGTGTGTAAAGGAAGAAAGTTGTAAGTGAACATAGATAAGAGTAAGGTGATGAGGGTGTTAAATGAGTTAGGTAAGAAAAAACTGGATATCACATTGGAGGGAGGGAGTGTGGAAGAAGTGAATGTGTTCAGATATTTGGGAGTTGACTGTCAGCAGATGGGTTTATAAACAATGAGGTTAACCATAGAACTGATGAAGGAAAAAAAGGTGAGAGGTGTGAGGGATATGTGAAAACAAAAAAAACGTTATCCATGGAGGCAAGGAAGGGAATGTATGAGAGTACAGTGGTACCAACACTTATGTGGGTGTGAAGGATGGGTTGTAAATGCTGCAGCAAGGAGGAGGCTGGAGGTAGTGTAGATGTTGTGTCTAAGGGCAATGTGTGGTGTAAATACCTATTATGCAGGAATTTGTAGTGTGGAAATAAGGAGGTGTGGAGTTACTAAAAGAAATTAGTCAGAGGGCTGACGAGGGGTTGTTGAGGTGGTTTGGTCATTTAGAGAGAATGGATCAAAGTAGAATGACTTGAGAGCGTATAAATCTGTAGGGGAAGGAAGGCGGGGGGTAGGGGTCGTCCTCAAAAAGGTTGGAGAGAAGGGGTAAAGGAAGTTTTGTGGGTGAGGGGCTTGGATTTCCAGCAAGCATGCATGAGCGTGTTTGATAGAGTTTTATGGAGGAGACGAATGGTTTTTGGGACCCTGACGAGCTGTTGGAGTGCGAGCAGGGTATATTTTGTGAAGGGATTCGAGGAAACTGGGTTAAACAGACTTGAGTTCTGGAAATGGGGAGTACAATGCCTGCATTTTTAAGGAGGAGTTTGGATATTGGCAGTTTGGAGGGATTCTAAACTGTCATAACTGAGCACCTCTGCAAAGACAGTGATTATGTATAAAGTGAGGTGAAAGTGTTTAATGATGAGAAAGTTGTTCTTTTTGGGGATTTTCTTTCTTATAGGGTCACCCCTGCCTTAGTGGGAGGTGACCAAATGTTGAAAAAAAAAATTTTTATATAATATTTTATTATATATAATATTTATAATAATCTATAGATAAATTAGGCTAATTTATTTACCAAGTTAAAATGTTTGGAAAGATGCTCATTGCGCATTGTATCGAGTCTGTGCACCCCTCGGTCCTCCAGGGATGGTGTCAACCGCATCTAGAAAAACCAGGGGCGTAAACCCAGCATACGGCCATTGCTGGAACATTTCCCCGAAATATATCAGAGATTTTTATTATTATTTATGTTACAAATGTGGTAAGCTGCTGAATAAAGCTTTAACAAAATTAATATTTTAATTTTAATTCAAACTTTAGGGATTGGAGTGTGATGATAAAAAAATTTTGGTAAGGTCAGTGTGTATGTCTAGAAAAATACCATACTAAATTTGAAATCACCCAGATTTTTTCTCCAAACTTTTTTGCATTACGGACTTCCTACTTAGTGATGTACTTGTTTACCGATGCCTCGAACTCATGACAGGCTCTCTGACCAGTATGCATGCCTAAATAATGTATATTAGAGCTGATTTCCTCTATTTTGTTTATTACAATATACAGTACACTACTGTATAAACATTTAAAAATATACCAGAAATGTTATACATGTTGCAAAGGTGACATTAAAACAATATCAAAGATAATTGACACAAACCCACTAGCATTATAGTATGCTCCTCACTTAGAGATACATTCATATACCGATGTGGTCTTAGGAACAGAACTCCATCGTTAAATGAGGAGAGGCTGTATTTTTTTTTTTTTATAACACACTGGCTGATTCCCACCAAGGCAGGGTGGCCCGAAAAAGAAAAACTTTCACCATCATTCACTTCATCACTGTCTTGCCACAAGGGTGCTTTACACTACAGTTTTTAAACTGCAACATTAACACCCCTCCTTCAGAGTGCAGGCACTGTACTTCCCATCTCCAGGACTCAAGTCCGGCCTGCCAGTTTCCCTGAATCCCTTCATAAATGTTACTTTGCTCACACTCCAACAGCACGTCAAGTATTAAAAACCATTTGTCTCCATTCACTCCTATCAAACACGCTCACGCATGCCTGCTGGAAGTCCAAGCCCCTCGCACACAAAACCTCCTTTACCCCCTCCCTCCAACCTTTCCTAGGCTGACCCCTACCATTACAGACTGATACACTCTTGAAGTCATTCTGTTTCGCTCCATTCTCTCTACATGTTCGAACCACCTCAACAACCCTTCCTCAGCCCTCTGGACAACAGTTTTGGCAATCCCGCACCTCCTCCTAACTTCCAAACTACGAATTCTCTGCATTATATTCACACCACACATTGCCCTCTATTACAAAAAAAGTGATTTTTAAAAGATGGTAAGTTTTTACTCCTTTTGTAATAAAGAGTTCGGGATACATAAATACACACATTAAAATAAATTAATCTTTAATATAATATAAAAATCAACTTTCTTTGGTCTAGAGGTATTTGAACTAACATCTGATAATATATACATGTTACAATAATAAATTATAATTAGCATTTTACTAAATAATAAATAATTCCCGACCCTACACAGGGTACAACTCTTGACACTACTGCGTCATATATCTATATGCTAAAATAATAAATTAGTAACATTTAAAATAATAAATTACAATCAACTGCGTTTTCACGACACTTATCCGAGTTGCGACGCTCTTTCTCCACCGTGTCACTTGACACCCTTTTCCCCGATAATACACACTTTTGCAACCGTGTCACACTTGACACCCTTGTCTCTGCGTCACAGTACCCGCATAGCGTCTTTGTCGAGGCCAGTCACATGACCTATTCAGTGTACACTACAACCAGGCCATCTTCAGTGTCACACGATACCCTTTCCTTCTCAGTGTTCCACTACGGTCCTGTAGCTATCTCAGTGTTCCACTCCATCATATTTCCCCTAAGTGTCACACTACGGTCCTGGCCCAGTTCAGTGTTAACACTCCAACCTTTTTTTCATGTAATGTCCACTAAACAGAAATCAGATGACCCCGGCCACAGTTGACAAGCGTAGGCGGTGAGTCCACAGACTTTCACCGGTTAGTCCAGAAATACTCCCCAAAGCGGCTGACACACCCTAGCCGAACACCATGCTGCAAGCTCATGAATGCACCCGTTCAAGTAACTGAGGCCAACGACTCAGTGAGCTGCGGTGAGCGGTTCTTCTAACGCCAGTAGATGGGTAAGATTAGGTGTTAGTACCTACTGCGTAGATGCGTACCGTGAGGAGTTCAGGTACTTAATGTTTCTAAAGCAGTAGATGTGTACCATTAGGTGTCCAGGTACCTACTGCTTTAGATGCGTACCCTGAGGAGTTCAGGTATTTAAAATGTTTCTAAAGCCAGTAGATGTGTACGATTAGGTGGTCAGGTACCTTTGCTTAGATGCGTACCCTGAGGTGCTCAGGTACTTAATGTTTCTAAAGCCAGTAGATGTGTACCATTAGGTGTCCAGGTACCTACGCTTAGATGCATACCCTGAGGAGTTCAGGTACTTAATGTTTCTAAAGCCAAGTAGATGTGTACCATTAGGTGCCGGTACCTACTGCTTAGATGCGTACCTGAGGAGTTCAGGTACTTAAGCTCTAAGGCCGGCTCAGCAGTCCCCACAATGGGTTTGATGACGTACCCAGTGGTACTCCCGGCCGGCAGGTTAACTATTTAACGCTAGTTTGGCAGGGGGCCGTAACACCCTCAGACAGGGACATCTCCACTGCTCCAGCCTTCTCCTCACTGCAACATTCATCACCCATGCTTCACACCCATATAAGAGCGTTGGTTAAAACTATACTCTCAACATTCCCCTCTTTGCCTCCAAGGACAAAGTTCTTTGTCTCCACCCGACTCCTAAGTGCACCGCCCCATCCTTTTCCCCTCTCAATTCTATGATTCACCTCATCTTTCATAGACCCATCTGCTGACATGTCCACTCCCAAATATCTGAATACATTCACCTCCTCATACTCTCTCCCTCCAATCTGATATCCAATCTTTCATCACCTAATCTTTTTGTTATCTCTTGTTTTCTCTTACATACCCTACCAAATTCATCCACAACCTCTGCAACTTCTCTTCAGAATCTCCCAAGAGCACAGTGTCATCAGCAAAGAGCAACTGTGACAACTCTCACTTTATGTGTGATTCTTTATCTTTTAACTCCACCGTTCTTGCCAAGACCCTCCCCATTTACTTTTTCTTACAACCCCATCTATAAATATATTATACAACCATGGTGACATCAAAATCCTTGTCAAAGGCCTACTTTACTGGGAAATAATCTCCTTCTTTCCTACATACTCTAACTTGAGCCTCACTATCCTCATAAAAACTCTTCACTGCTTTCAGTAACCTACCTCCTATACCATACACTGCAACATCTGCCACATTGCCCCCCCATCCACCTTTCATACGCCTTTTCCAAATCCATAATGCCACAAAGCCTCTTTAGCCTTACTAAATACTGTTCCTTTTATGTTTCACTGTAAACACCTGGTCCACCACCT